ACAGGATTGTATCTTCTTCTCATCAGAAACTGTGTACTGACCTTTGAGAAAGGGTATGTGTTTTAAAGTTGAGATGCTTGCATGTCCAAGACACTGATGCCAAAGTTCCAAAGACAGATTACACTTTGCCTCTGCTTGTTCATGCTTCTTTGAGAGTACATATAAATTTCCCACTGAATATCCCTTCCCAATCAGATCTCCATTTGCACAAAGTTTTAGATAGCAAAATGTGGATGAGAAAGAGCATAATACCTTCTCATCCAAACACAGTTGATTTACTGAGAGCAAATTATATTTGAAATCAGGAACAAACAGTACATTTTGCAATGTTAACCTCATTTATGTTTACTATCCATGCATTAGCTACCCTTTTGGTAGAACCATCTGGCAAACAGACTTTTACTGGCTCCTTGAGACTTACAATTTTCTTCATTTGTGCTAAATCTCCACACATGTGTCTGCTGGCACCAGTATCTATAATCTAATCCTTAGAGCTCATATTATCAACTGCTGTTAGTGCAAAGTGAATCTCATCCCCCTCATTTTCCTTTGCAAAGCTTACCAACTGAGCATAATCCACCTTACTATCCATAGATTCCTTTCCTTTTATGTACTGAGTAAGCTCTTGACGTTGTTTGACAACCAGTGATAACTCACTACTTTGAGAAGATCTCTTGTCACTTATTCCTTCCTGCCATTTCTCATCATTGTCATGAACTTCTGCACTATGTGCATAGCTTTTGGCTTGCTGGTCTTTAAAATCCTTGTACCAATCTGGTACTCCATGTATTCTAAAGCATGTGCTAACTGTGTGGCCGTTCATTCCACAATTTTCACATAAGAGCTTGGCCTTTTCTTCTTTGCTCATTCTCCCCATACTCCTTCCTCTTCCACCTTGCCAAGATCCTCCTCTTCCTGCATATCCTCTCCCTTGATAATTACTTTGTCCTCTACCATATCCTCCTGATCTGACATTCACGGCCACATTGTCAATTTTATCAAAACTGTTGTGGACTGACCTTTGTCTTTCTGCACTTAACACCATAGAGAAGGCCTTGCTAACACTTGGCAAAGGATCATATAACATAATCTGATTTTTCAAGTGATCATAACTATCATTTAGTCCCATGAGGAACTGTATCAATTTATTCTCAGCCTCATTTTGTGCCACAATTTTCCCTTTCTCACAGTTACAACTTTGAACAGGAACTATGTAAGAGTATTCATCCCAAAGTTTCTTCAACTTACTGAAATATTCCATAACAGATTTGTTTCCTTGTGTTAGAGTATTGATCTCTCTTTGCAATTTGTACTTCATTGGACCATTACTCTCCCCATAGCGTTGACAGATTTCATCCCAAAGCTCTTTGGATGTTTCAGCAAAGACTAAGGATTCTGCGATTTCCTTATAAAGAGAATTTAAAATCCAAGACAAAATCGTCCAATCAACCTTTTTCCATGCATCAAAGTCATTATCAGTAGGTTGCGGCTCAGGAATATCACCATTAATAAAACCTAGCTTAGTTTTGGCCCCGAGTGCAATCATCATCGATCGACGCCATGAAAGGAAATTACTACCAGTTAGTTGATTCGAAACTAACATCATACTAGTATTATCCGAGTTGTGTAAGAAAAACGGGCCTTGATCCTGCAAATTCGTGTTCTGTCTTCTACCAGATCCGCCGGTGTTAAGAGCACCATCTCGCTGCATCGCCATGATCGTAGCTTAAGCTGAATCGAAGTTCCCTGAATCGACTGCTCTAGATACCATGTTGAATCGAGTGATTCTCCATTTTCGTATATGATCGACAACAAGTGAAACCAACACAAAATATCTTAGCTCAACATTTTCATTCTTTTTTGAAAAGAAAACAAGACGTACATCCTTATTTAATGTTCATGCAAACAGACAAAAGAAGAAGCAAAACGGTGTCGTTTGTGATTAACCAAAACGACACCGTATCAATCGTAAGAAAACAGAAAAAAACACACTCTTTTAACAACAGAAAAAAACAAAAAAAATGAAAGAAAACAAAGCAGCAGCAAAATCCTTGACTCCCAAATCACACCCTCTTCAACAATAACGATTTTTTCACTTCTATATGTGATTATGTGGCATAAAAGAGAAACAATAATTCTAGAAGTCCTTCTACATGTAGAAGTCCTTCTAGACTTATGAATCATTTTTTCACCTTATTTATAATACAAAATAAATGGATAACATGAAGATAGTATAAACCATTGAAGATGTTTTATGGACTTGAACCTCTATTTGTTCCACGTGGATGGAAGACCATCTATTTCATTGTCACATATACTACAATTCATGTATACGGTTGGAGATGCTCTAACATTCTCCACAATGTACAACTGCAACAATTTACTTTCATATAAATATCCACTTTTAACACACACGCGGACACACGCATTATGAGGACAATGGCCTGCTTCTCTCTCTCTCTTTTTTTTTTTTTTTTTNAAAACAAATCCAGACCTATCCCTAGTATTTGAGTTTTAGCCTAATATTCTAATAGAAGAAGCTTGAACAAGACGACATTCCTTATTCGACCATGAATTCCTCCAAAGCATGGGAATCTTGATCACCAAACACCGGCTTAAAATCTCAGACTTTCTATTACATAAAAATCCCTACCCCATATCCAAGATTTTGGTTGTCATTATATTTGATACATCAAATTGTCCTGAACCGCTGGACCACCTCTTCTAAATCGGTTCGCCCTTCTTGGATCGTCGGTAACCTGCAAAACACGCCGGGGGTGGTTCCAGCGTGAACACTCCGACGCCCAAGTCAGTCAAGAATTCAGAAAGGGTAGCAGATATAGAAGACAATGCGTATTTCGTAGATGTGTGTTATGTGTAAGAGGAAAGGAACCTGCCCCTTTTATATCCGAAGGCGGACGCCCTAAAGACTCGTGATGACAAGAGTCCTTCTTCCGCCTACCTCTGGACAATGCCAATCTTATCCAACGACCGTAGAGTCCTGCTCGACCCTGTCTCCCTATGATCCGGGAAGATCTCCGCGATACGCGCAACGGCTCCCTGTTGTAATATCATCCACCTCCTTCTACCAAGCTGAGCTCTTCCTTTGTACCGCCGAGCTCATTCCTAGCATTCAGGTGTGTTCGCCCAAGGTTTACTTCATTTATCAGCTCGGCCACCTTCCCAGCTTATAAGCTTGGCCTCCCACAGTTGACCAACTAGCTCGGCTAGTCAGCTAGGTTCTCGCACTTGGTCGAGCTCATCTGAGCTCCAACGCTTACTTTGAGTGGACCGGGTCAGCCTACTTGCCGAGCTACTTCCTTTAATATCAGCGATGCTATGCTACATCATCTAGCCCCCCTATTTCCGGACGAGTTCTACAAACTTGTCCGAGAAATAAAGAAATGTGAGCATCGCAAAAGGTCATTAGCTCTTCTCATCACAAAATCGCGAGCTCGTCGCATCGCAAGACCATAAGCTCGTCGTTCCACAAAATCACAAGCGCATCATACCACAAAATCGCGAACTCGTCGCATCAACGAAGCTATGAGTTCGTCTCATCTACAAGGCTATATGGAACTCATCATTGCGACAAACAAGCTCATCATGCCCCTCTGAGCTCGACGCGTCACAATCCCGAGAAGCTCCTTACGTTACAATCTGACAAGATCACCATATCACGATTACCCTAAGCTCACGATATCGTAACTTCATGCCGAGCTCATCACCCCCAAGATGTCTAGGAGCTCGTCACCTTCACAAATATCAGGAGCTCGTTACATGGGCTCGTCACATCACAATCCGTGAGCTCGACCTATGAGCTCGTCACCTCACAAGATTATGAGCTCGTCACGTGAGCTCGTCACCTGGCAAGATTTTGAGCTCGTCACATGCCAAATCACGAGCTCGTCATACCACAAAGTCGCGAGCCCATCGCATCGCGACCTTTGCGAGCTCATCATAACATCACCCCTACGAGCTCCTCACTGCCTTTGCGAGCTCGTTGTAGCATCATCTCTGTGAGCTCGTCGTAACACCACAATCTCAGCGAACGTGTTACACCCACCAGATCTTGTCAATTTTATGACATCATTCAGCTCAGGATATGACCTAGCTCGTCACGTCATCCCTTCGAGAGCTTGTCACCTCGCAACTTTGAAGAGCTTGTCATATCGCAAACCGCGAGCTCGTCACTCCAACAAAAATCCGCGAGCTAGTCGCATCGCTGCTGTGAGCTAGTCACAACACCGCGAGCTCGTCACTCCAACAAAAATCCGCGAGCTCGTCGTATCGCCAAAACAGTGAGCTTGGCATCCCGCCTTCACATCACAATTATAATGGGTTCGCTACACTTCAATTTGTCCCGCTATAATGAGCTCGTCATTCTTGTGAGCTTGGCCTATAATGAGCTCGCTATGTCGTAATCTGACGGGCTCGTCACGCAATATCTCCTTCCCACGCGCTCGACACATGACCTCTGGGAGCGTACCCTCCATTAACGTGCACCGACCTTCCTCGCTGCTTCTCCTCATCGTATTATTTTGTTATGATGACGAGCTTCGGGCTCCGTCATGACCTCCCCACTCAACTTCAATCCTCCCAACGGTCATAAGTGCTTACATCTATAAACCGTTTCTCACCGTTGATACACCCTTCAAACGAGCGGCTGAGATACGACACTCTGCTCAATTTCCCAAAGCTTTCGGCCCACGCCTCCTGTCACATCACCAAATCTTGTCCGAAATGAACGGCCATGATTAGCTGCCTTTTCCCCTTCTTCGCCATCTCAACCCTCCATGTTAGTGACCCTTCAAATCCCCATCTACTAACTTCATACATATATATATATATATATATATATACAGGAGTAACTCCTTTTCACATTCCTCCACTCCAATACCATACCTACGATTTTCTAAAAATCAAAATCCGGCAACGGCACCCACGCCCCGACGTTTCGCATATTCTGAGCCACTATTTTTAGCAATCCCAACAATCTCATGGGTAAGCATCATCTTGGATTTAAATTTCGTTGCTTCTGATTTATACCCTCACTACGTTTTATCATGTTCTTAACTTGTACAAATAACAGTATTATCACCCCTTAATTTTTCATACTGCATCTCATTGCACTTAGCTCATCTCGCTTCCCCGACTAACTTCAATACCTACTCACCTTCGAACTCGGAACCCCTAGGTGAGCCATCCCTGACCCTAGCTCTTCCAGCTCAGGCAGGTGAAGCTAGTTCCACCTCGGCTACCGATAAAGCCAAGGGCGTGGTTCCTGCAATCACCTCGGCATGCCCTAGCGCGCTAGCGTCTTATTCCTCTGATAAAATTGCGAAAATATTGGAGGAAGTCGAGCTTCCCAGTGGCTGGAAGTTGAAGGTGCCGCGGCCCAACAACACGTATGACAATCCATCGCCGGGCTATTACACCTTTTTTCTTGATCAAGCGGCAGCCGGGTTAAAATTCCCTCTACGGGATGATCTCATAACTCTTAGCAATTTATACCATTTGCCCATAAACCAATTCGCGCCAAATGCCATTAGGATGCTAATGGGATTCATCATAGTGTGCCGAGCTAATCTAGGCGAATTAGACCCCGAGCTATGCTTTTATTGTCTTTGGATGAAACCTCTCGGCACCTCCTTTTATCTATCAACTCGTCATGGCGCTAAATTTATCACCCGACCGACCTCCAAGATCCACAATTGGAAGAATAAATTTTACTACCTCTGTCCTCCTGCCAAAACGTTTGATTTCCCACCCGAGTGGATTCATGTGCTACCTCGCCAACGCGAAAATCCTCGTCCCAACGCTAAATACGATGCCCTCATCCAAGAATGGAACAAAAAACCTCTCCACATTGTAAAATTAACATCTGACATTCGCTTACTTCACCACTTTAAGTTGTCTAACCGTCCTGCTGCTCATGTGACCGACATAGGTGGGTATCACTGCGACGAGCTAATTACGCAGGACTTATGTCATTTTAATATTTACTTGAGCATGCTAACTGTAATCCGCTTATTGTTCTTTTATATTTTCCATATTGCAGAGAGCATTTTCAAGGCGGCCCTCGCTACACCTAAGCACACCGAGAACTCTGCCCAACCATCGCAGCCTGCCGAGACCATTGCCGACCTGGCCAACCCGGCTGCCGACCTGCCTTCATCAAGTGCTCAAGATAAACACCCTCCCTCACAATCAACTTCTCAGGATCCGAAAATAAAACGCCGTAAGTTGACCAAAGGAAATGACTCTAACGCCAAGAAAACCAAGCAGTCGTCCAAAAAAGACACCGGCTCCAAACCTGTGCTAGAGCAACTAGAACCCTTTGTTGGCAATTCTGACGCTAGCTCGGCCGCCACCTACTTGCTTTCAATATTTCCAAAAGAAGAAACTTCATGCTGGAAAGACAGTCAAACTCGAGCCTCTGTCACTCTGCACAACCTAGTGAAGGTATCTTCGTCACCGCATCTTGTACTTTCTTAAGCTCTCTTCCGGCGATAGACTTTCTTACCTCAAGTATTATTATTACTTCTAGACTTTGGCCGGCCTTGCTCCTATTCTACATGAGGGGATAGAAGGGACCTCTGAAGTCAAAACTCTCCAGAATGAGCGCGACACTGCTAAGGCCGAGCTGACCAGCATAAAAGAGGCCTACGACCGCCAGAAGGAGGAGATGGACCATTTGACAGCTGAGCTGCAGTTGAAAGAAGCTGAGGTCGTCCATCTTCAAAATCAAACGCATGCGAAAGAATCCGAACTAATTTCCCTTCGCCTCTTCATGGACCAGCGCATTGCCGAAGCTCGCTCTGCCGGCGAGACTTCCTTCCTTTCTTCTGACTTTGGTACTCGCTTTCTCGAGCATTACCGCATCGAGCTATTGAAATACTTTGAACACACCACAGCTTTCCTGGGTAAGCTCGGCCCCGCCTGTGTTCAATATTTTCAGGTGGGCGTGGAGCGTGCCCTTGCTCGGGCCCGGGAGCAGGGATTTACCGGTTCCGTGGACGAGGCTGCCTTACTCACTGATTTTCCTGAGCCCATTGGGTGGAACGACGATGAATCGCAGCCAGCTGACGCTCCATGGTGGACACCAGTGCTTGAAGTGGCCAGGAAGAAGGCCGACCTCGCTAGTGACGAAGAAGATGAGAAGGGAGACCAAGAGTGATCACTTAGTCTTGTTATGAAATTGTTGCTTTTGACTTTAGTGATGTTCTGCACTATGAATTATTTGTATCGTAAGATCGGCTCATGGCTTCTTATCGTTTTGAATGTACGCCCGCCTTTATCTATTTACTTCAATCAATCAAACATGTTGTGCCGCTAAGTGCTTTTAACTTATTCTTCCTTACGCTTGTTCACCGACCTTCCTGCCCTAACGCGACAACAAGTTAATCCTTATACCGGGCTCAGAAGTATTACCTATATAACCATATCGGCAAATGCGTAAAAATTGCAAGTCCCCTCACTGAACTTTAAACTGATATATAACCACCGGCATGCGAACTTTTCCAATTACCAGGCCCGACTGCTGGTATGCTTTTATATTCAAAGCCGGGCTACCAAGACATCCTTCCCCACAAATCACCCTTTATACTCAACAGAAGATCGTTTCATATGCCGCTAGGCTTGACCATCTCACGACCTTCCTTATTACTAAAAATTATCGTGCCTCGGCACGTATGTAGCTCTCCTGAAGCAGACTTCCTCCCAAAAACATTATCGCCGAGCTTACGATATTTCGAAAAAAGCTTGCGTCCTAAAACATTATCGCCGAGCTCAACGAGCTTACGATATTTTGAAACAGGCTTTCGCCCTAAAATATTATCGCCGAGCTCAATGAGCTTACGATATTTCGAAAAAAGCTTGCGTCCTAAAACATTATCGCCGAGCTCAACGAGCTTACGATATTTCGAAACAGGCTTTCGCCCTAAAATATTATCGCCGAGCTCAATGAGCTTACGATATTTCGAAACAGGCTTTCGCCCTAAAATATTATCGCCGAGCTCAATGAGCTTGCGATATTTCAAAGCAGGCTTTCGCCCTAAACAACCATCGCCTAGCTCAAATAGCTTGCGAATTATGTAAGACAGGCTTTCGCCCTAAACAACCATCGCCTAGCTTAAATAGCTTGCGAATTATGTAAGGCAGGCTTTCGCCCTAAACAACCATCGCCTAGCTTAAATAGCTTGCGAATTATGTAAGACAGGCTTTCACCCTAAACAAGCATCGCCTAGCTCCACGAGCTTGCGATATTATCAAAACAAGCATAGTTCGTAAAATGGTAACTTTCATTATTCAAGGAGAAAACGACATTATTCGAAGATAAAGCAACACTATTTGGAATGAAAATAACACCAATTATTCAAGTAATAATTACATAAGAGAGTCTTCTCAGCTAGGCATAATACTTCTTCAGGTGGAGTATGTTCCATGGTCGTGGTAACACCCGCCCTTCCATATCACTGAGCTCGTATGCTCCCCCCGTCAGGATCCGCTCGACTTTATAAGGCCCTTCCCAATTGGGTTCCAATTTTCCAACATGCTTCAGAGCGTCGGCTTGTCGCCAGACTAGATCTCCCACCTGAAGACGCCTAGCTCGCACAGATTTATCGTGAGCTGCCCTCATTCGTTGTTTATATGCCATCATCCTTACCCTTGCCTGATCACGCAACTCATCCACCAAATCAAGTGCCGCCCGTCGCAAATCTGTATTCACAGCTTCATCATAAGTATCGATCCTCCTTGAGCTGAGGCCGATCTCAACTGGAATGACCGCCTCCATTCCATAAACTAAACTGAACGGTGTCTCTCCTGTAGAAGCTCTAGGAGTCGTTCGATATGACCAAAGAACTGAGTCGAGCTCGTCAACCCAAGCTCCCAAGGCTCCTTCCAACCTAGCCTTTAGTCCATTTAGAATGGATCTATTCGCCACTTCCGCTTGTCCATTAGCTTGCGGGTGTGCTACCGAGGCAAACTGCTGCTTAATCTTCATGTTCTCGCACCACTCCATGATATGCCGACCTCTGAACTTCGTCCCGTTATCCGAAATGAGAACACGAGGAATACCATATCGGCAGCAAATATTAGTAAACAAGAACTTTATCATTTTGTCTTCTGTAATTTTGGCCAAAGGCTCCGCTTCAATCCACTTTGTGAAATAATCTATCGCAACTACCAAGAACTTGCGCTGACCTGTTGCCTGAGGTAAAGGTCCCACTATGTCGATTCCCCATTGAGTGAAGGGTAATGGTGAACTTATAGGTACCATGCCCTCTGCAGGCCGATGAATGAGAGGGCCATGCCGCTGACAGTTGAGACATTTCCGGACCATCTCTTGCGCCATTGTCCTCATGGTGGGCCAGAAATACCCCGCTCGCAGTACCTTTCCTGCCAACGATCGAGCCTTCATATGATCGCCGCCACATCCTTCGTGGACCTCGCGCAACACATAGTCTCCTTCATGCTCGAAAACACACCTCAAGTGTGGTCCTACATAAGATCGCTTGTACAAAATCCCATTCTGCAGGTAGAATCGTGAAGCCCGCCGACCTACCGGGTCATTCCTTATATCCTTTCCGTCAACCGACTCCTGCAACCATTTTATCAAAGGCGATCTCCAATCCTCATGCTCTTCTACTTCTAAAACCCGATCCAAAGTACTCACCGTCATTTCCATTAAAGTAACCGATCGTGATTTACAATCCACCACTATCGCCGCCATCTTTGACAGGAGGTCAGCTCGGCCATTTTCAGCTCGTGGTATCTGTATGAGTTCTCAGGACCTGAATCCATTAAGTAACGACCGTACCTCAACTACATACTTTCGCATGCGCTCCTCCTTTGCCTCGTATTCTCCCTTAACCTGCTCAACTACCAGTTGGGAATCTGAATGGAGCATCACTTGACGAGCTCCCTCCTTAAGGACGAGTTGTATCCCCTGCAACAAGGCTTCATATTCTGCTTCATTATTTGAGACTCTAAAACCTAACTTCACAGCAAACTCCAAATGATCACCCTCGGGAGTGACGATTAGGATGCCGAGCCCGGCACCTCCGATTGCCAAGGATCCATCCGTGTATACCATCCATTTTCCTTCCTCCTTGCTCACAGTACATTCTTGTATAAAATCCGCTAAAGCCTGAGCCTTTATTGCCCGTCTTGGCTCAAACTCGACGTTGTACTCCCCTAGCTCAATCGCCCACTTCACCATTCTTCCTGAGGCTGAGGGACGACCTAGAGTATCTTTGAACGGATAATTGGTCCTTACTACCACCTTATGCGCAAGAAAGTAGGGCCGCAGCTTGCGAGCTGTAGCAATGAGCGCCAGCGCAGCCTTTTCCACTTCTGAGTACTGGCGCTCAGCTCCTTGTAATATCCGACTAGTATAATATATCGACCTTTGTTGGCCGTGCTCCTCCTTTAACAGCACCGAGCTAATAGCTTCCTCTCCTACCGACAGGTATACCACTAAGTCGTCTCTGGGTTCTGGTTTTGTAAGTAAAGGTAGCTCGGCGAGGAACTCTTTCAATCTTTCAAAGGCATGCTGCGCCTGCTGCGTCCACTCAAAACGAGATCCCTTCTTTAGGGCACGAAAGAAGGGAAAACTTTTTTCCGCGGCCTGCGCTATGAACCTGCTCAAGCCAGTGAGGCGCCCTGCCAGGACCTGCACCTCCTTTAAGTTCACGGGTGCCTTCATCTCGATAACAGCTCGGACTTTCTCAGGATTTACCTCTATCCCTTTTTCCGTCACCAGGTACCCTAAGAACTTTCCTGATCATACCCCAAATTTACACTTTGTTGGGTTAAGCTTCATGCCATATCGCCGTAAAGTGGTGAAGGTCTCCCTTAGGTCCTTCACATGATCGCACGCCTTCCTACTCTTTACGAGCATATCATCCACGTAAACCTCCATGTTCCGTCTGATCTGGCCTTTAAACAACTTATCTACTAATCGTTGGTACGTTGCCCCAGCATTTTTAAGTCCAAAAGGCATTACGACATAGCAGTAAGTACCCTTGGACGTTACAAAACTAACCCTCTTGCGATCCTCCTTTGCAAGAGGAATTTGGTGGTATCCCTGCGAAGCATCCATCATACTCAACAGTTCACACCCCGCCGTGGAATCGACGAGCTGATCTATCCGTGGTAATGGATAATGGTCCTTAGGGCAAGCTTTGTTCAAATCGCGAAAGTCTATACACATTCTCCACTTATCCTCACCTTTGCGTACCATCACAGAGTTTGACAACCACTCTGGAAATTGTATGGGCTCTATATGCCCCGCTTTCAGTAGCTTATTCACCTCGGCCTCTATAACCTCATCCAACTCGGCGCCGAAATGCCGCCTTTTTTGCTTAACCGGCCTTACTGTTAAGTCAATATTCAATCTGTGTTCGGCCACTTCTGGACTAATTCCAACGAGCTCATCAGGTGCAAAGGCGAACACGTCCACAAACTCTCTCAGCAATGCCACCAACGCCTTCTGGATGCTTTCTTCTAAATATCGATCTACCTTAGCTGTTTTCAAAGGGACCCCTTCCACCAGCTCCACCTCCATGAGCTCATCCTGGGAATCTAAGCCCAACTCCTGTCGTCTACCTTGATGCGATGATTCAGGGGGATCCTCCGTCTTCCTCTTCTTATTCAACGCCTCCGCAGTCTTCAATGTTACTTCGTAACAGCGGCGCGACTGCAACTGATCTCCCATCACCTCTCCGACTTCATCTCCCACAGGGAACTTAATTTTCATACACCACGTTGAGATGGCAGCTTGGAACGCGTTCAGGCTGGGGTGTCCCAGAATGATATTGTACGCCGAGCTGGAATCGACGACCAGAAATCTAACCATTTTTACCTTCCTTGTGGGAGCTCGTCCTAGGGCTACTGTTAGGTTCACCTCCCCCATGGGTCGGACCTCATTGCCACTAAAACCGTATAGGGCAGTGTGCACCAGTTCCATTTTTACCTCCAACTCCATCTGCTGCAAACATTTCCAGAAAATGATATCCGCCGAACTCCCAGTATCTATCAGAACCCTCTGCACATCGTAACTAGCCACCTCAGCCGTAATCACCAAGGCATCATTATGGGGAACCACGACCCCCTGCACATCATTCGCGCTCAAGTTCAGGGTAACCGAACTTGCTTGTACCCTGACCTCAGCCA